CCATGGATGCCTTATCCATTTCGTGTTCCGCGTGCACGAGGCTGTGGGGATCATGCACCTTACGGATTTCTTCCGTGACACCCCACAGGCACTTACCCTGCTGCGTCGACTGAGCGCGCTCCCGCGCCTCCCTGCGAAACAGATTGGGGAGGGGTTTACAGTGGTTTGGGAGGACTTCAGACATGCGACTCCTCAGCACTATGCCAGAGTATTCCCCTTTCTGATGTATTTTTATAACCAGTGGCTGGTTCGGGTCAAACCCCGTCGTCTGACCATTCACAAGCAGTATCATACCACATCCAACAATGTAGAAACCAATCACCGCCATTTTCGGCGTTTCATCACAACACCTGTTCCGAACACGTGGGATGTCACAGGTGAGTTTCAGTTCAGTTACGAATTTTCAGGCGGGCGGGCGGGCTTGCCTGGAAACGCAAGTATGTGAATGTCACTCACTTGTAGGTGAGCGAATGTCTAGGAAAAATTCACACATTTACCCACCGTCAGTGTACGAATGGATATTCGCTTACCTACCAGGTGGCTGATTCACGCCGCGCACTCTTGTAGTTATGCTGTACCGAATGCACGAGTGCGGGCGGGTTGCCTACTCGTTCGGCTCGTAAGGCGCCGTGGACAGGGGCGATAGGCAAGCCCGCCCGCACACGTGCATGCGGTACAGTATACCTACAGAAGTGCGCGGCGTGATTCAGCCACCTGGTACAAGTGAGCGACATTCACACATTTGTGTTTCCAGTGCGCCCCTGACCATGGCGCCTTACGGGCCGAGCGAGTAGGCAACCCGACCGCTTGTAGGAATGCGGCAAGGGTTAGTCAGCTACCTGGATGAGCATTGACAGTGTGTAATTGTTGAAATGTTATCTTTTGATTCAGCTGCAATTCAACAAGTGCACCAACAGACGACCCTTGCGTTGGAGAGGCTCCGAACAAACCAGCCGACAGGACGACTGAGGGGAGAGCCTCTAATTATGAGTGCCACTCGTGTACGAAGAGCTGAAAGGAGGCTGGAAGCCGGCGGAGGCGGTGCTGACGTCCTCCAGTTCCTTGACACCGTGACACACGCCATGGAAAATGTCATCAGGGACTTGGAGCGGTGGGCCGTC